CTCAGGATGGAGTCATAGGTTTGGCAGGGGGCCAGGTATATCCCTGGCAGCTGAAGCCAAGAAACTGGCCATATTCCCTCCACCGGGAGCCAGGGCGCAGGGAAGGGTTAATGGAGAGGAGAGGGGAGGGCAGGGGAGAGAAGGGGAGGGCAGGAGAGGGGAGGGGAGGGGCAGCCAAGGCCCCTCCCCCACACCCCGGGGAGCTTGCATGCAAATGGTGGGCGACTCCTGAGACCCCCAGCCAGCTCTCCAAGTGAGTTCAGGCTCTGGGCTGGTGGCCAGCGCTGGGGGACTGAGAGGCCTTTGTGAGCTTTGGTGTGGGAGCCCGTGGGGCCTGGGGAGGACCGAGCTGGACGCCTGCGGTTGAGCCGGGAGGGTGCCCGATGATCCCCTTTCATCCTGTGGACCCCAGGCTGCTGCTCAGCGGCCTGTGACCTAAGTGCTGGCCTCAGTCTGCTCATCTGGACAATGGGGCCATGAGAACAGGGCAGGGGAGGGGGGGCGCGGACTGGGTGATGCCCTGAATGGCTTATGGCAGCATCTGGCAGGTGGGGGGAGGCAGACGGGGAAGGCTGAGAGGATTTGGGGTTCGGCAGTGTTCTGAGACACAGCGCCATCTGCAGGCACTGCCGGGGCGCCAGCATCCCTGAGTTTTTGCCTCCTCGCTAAGGGCGATCTGGGCTGCCAGCGCGAAGCTGCAGGCGGGAGAAAGGTGATGCGTCTGTCACCCTTGCTGACAGCCTCTGGGCTGCTCTCAGGGCGAGATGGTGCGGACAGGATCAGACAGGCACCTGCTCCTCAGGTCCCTCCCTCCCTCTGCCCACCCCTCGGTCCAGGTCCTTGTCTGCTCCCTGAACTTCCCAGGCCGGTCCTGCCTCAGGGCCTTTGCACGAGCCACTGGGCCCCTGGCCAGCTGCTTCCCATCCCTCCGGTCATCCCCGAGCACCAGCTGAGGGGCCCTCACCTACGGGAATCGGCCTGAGGCCAGACGGCCCAGGCTCCCTGCGTGCGTGACCACGGGCGAGTGTCCTGACCTCTCAGCACCCGGTTTCCTCCTCTGTGAAGTGGGGATAGCGGCGCCCACCTCATAGGTTAACTCAGCGGCTCTTCAGCGAGCGCCCGCCGGGTGCCAGGCACATGCACATGCCACAGACACGCACCCCTGTCCCCACCAGCCTTCCCCGGGGGTGGGGTGAGCCTGAGGCGGGTTGGTGCACGGACAGTGTCTGACCACCTTGGCGTCCGGACCCCTGGTCCTCGTCTGTGATGTCATCGCTCCCGTCTCATTGTGGGCACCTCCCTCGGACGGTGGGGCGTCCCCGGGTCTTGGCTGTCACCCCGGCGCCTGCCTCCGTGAGCTCTCGGCAAGGCTGCGTCGATGCAGCGAGGGGGGACCTGGGCCCCGGTCCCCTCAGTGTAAGTGGAGGTGCCGGTCACCCCGTCGGGTGCAGAGCGGATACGGAGCAGGTGCTGGCCGGGCTCAGCTGCGGTTAGTTTATTTTGTTTTATTTTATGAATATATTTTATTGGTTTCTGAGAGGAAGGGAGAGGGAGAGAGAGAGAAACATCAATGATGAGGGAGAACCATGGACCGGCTGCCTCCTGCACGCCTCACACTGGGGATGGAGCCCGCAGTCCAGGCCTGTGCCCTGAGGGGGAATCGAACCCTGACCTCCTGGTTCATAGGTCGAAGCTCAACCACTGGTCCACACCAGCCGGGCTGTAGTTACTGTTGTTGGGGGCGGGGCCTCAACCACGTCCGCAGCCACCTCTGGGCCTCAGTTTCCTCGTCTGTGCAATGGGCCATTGTTCATCACACCAGGAGGCTGGGGGGTCCACTTAGCGATGGAATGGGGGGCGGGGGGCGGACAGTCCAGCCATCTGTCCCCGCAGAGCCGCCAAACCCAGGCCGGGCGGCCACAGGCAGCACGGAG